ATGGAACTATATACTGTCATTGGCCTAACTATTTCAAGTCAGATCTTCAAAAAGATAGAGCTATTCAAAACCATAGTTCTTTGATAACCGAAAAATGTTCACTATGTCCTATTGAGATAAAATATAATACAGGTGAAAACTTCTGAAACAATCTGCAATGAAATATAGTTATAGTACTTAAACTTAGTCTTCTATTTCAACTTCTAGGTGATTACCAGAAAGCAAATGCAAAACTCCAACGCCTGGAAAATGAATTGGAAAGTGAAACAGATTCTGAGATACAGAAGAGAAAACCCAAGAAAAAAATATATTCTGAGTATGAAGAGGACTATAGTGAAGACGATTTGAACATTCCAATTGCACCTCAACCAAAAAAATTCACAACTTTGAGAAATATGGAAGTTAAAGGCCCAAAAAATAACTATGCCATACAAAAAAATAAATCAGTGGATATGAGTTTCATGAAAGAACATGACTCTTTTGAGAGTCAGCATGAACCTAGGCATGAACTTACCATTAAAAAAATGCCAAACAAAACTATTCTAGCAAATGAGAACATTGGGCTTTCAAACCAGGGCATCTCTATAAGAAATGGAAAGTCCCTGCCATGCAAAAATATCATTAATTTAATTCATGGTGAGTTCAAATGACAATACTGTTGTTTCATGTAATGATGGTTGTTTCTTTCTGAAAAATTTAATTTCGAAAATTAATTTCAAGTCTCGTTTTGAGTTTATCAGTTATTAGTTGGAAAATGTTCCTGATCAGAAGTTTTTTTTTTTTCAGTAAGCTTATTCAATTGAAAAGAAAAATTATCTCATAACATCATTAGCAATAGAAGTTGGTTGTATCCGTTCTTATCTTTTTTTGTTCTTTTATTTTCAGTTTCTGTAAGAAAGAATCCTCTAGCCAGCAAAGTCACACTCAGCGATGTAGAAAATAGTATCAAAATTTGGTTGCGAAATGCACCAGACCGGGAAGGAGGCCGGACCAAAAGAACTGCTGACAAACAAAACAATCAGTAGGGATATTTATTTTTATGATACATGGTGGTGCTGTTTTTGATGCGGAAAAAAGTATGTTGTACGCATTGAAATTATGAAAAAATTGATATGAACATGTACTTTTAACCGCATCGTTTTCAAGATAAGGTGTTGAAAATATATGCCTTTCAAACGGTAAAATGATATGAGAAATCTATAAAATTGAAACAAAATTATTACATTTTTTGATAAAGATATGGCAACAACACCAGTTTGTTATTTATTTGACGGTTCTGTGAAGACCTATAACTGCTCTCAAGTTTTGAAAAAGAAATTAAAAATGAATACGCACAAAAAAATTTGGGGTAATATTTTCCAACGTCACCACTAAATTCAGCCGCTACTGAATAGTTTTTTTAACTAATGTTAATTCTTGAAAAGCGTGATGAGTTGAGTTTCTCCGTAAAATTTCGTTAATAATTTATCTTAAACTATATCAAAGTTTTGATTTAAAAATCATATTCAGACGTGTATTTTCAACACCCTATTTTTCGAAAACGACGCATTCAAAAGTATAATGTTAATACAAAATTATGATGTTTTCAACGCTTATGACATACGACCTACTGTTGAATTATCCGCATAAAAAATGTACCACCTTGTATACTCCAGAGGCTGTGCTCTGTACCAAGAATTCATTGTTTTCGTTCCAATATTATTTTTTTACAAAATGTATTTGTTCTGTTTTCGTTTTATATGTATTTCAATACATTTTCTCAATAAAATGTTAATTGAAATGTTTATCATTATTCAGGTCCTGCTAAATATTCTAGAAATCCTAATTAACAATTATGGCTATGGTTTAATGTAGGCGTGCCGGTATTTTATTGGCACATTTTCATTGATTGAACCAGTAATGGGCATATTATGTTTGACTGAGACTAAACCTAAGTGTACCAGCAGCTGCCCAATAAACAACAAATTGAACTAGCCTGAACTGGCGCCTTGCCGGGCGTTTGACTGAGTTACTGGCATTCTATCACTCGGTCAGCTATCGGCCGCTGGGACGCGGGCTGGCCGGCCCTTTGTCTGGCGCCTCTTCTGGCCCAATTGAACTATTTGTTGGCAGCAGGAATCTTGCCGTTATAGTGCCATTTATTCAATGTTTGCTGGGTGATGTTTCAAAGAATAACGTTCGTCGGCATTGTGGCTTAGTGCAATATAGATATTAGGAGATAGATATGATGGAATATAGAAACTACACGACAGCTTCAATGCACTTATTTGGTTGATAATACCCGGCCGCCAGGTATCCGTTACCCGGCCTACCTTTAAAATCGGGTACCCGATACCCGGCTTTTTCAGAAAACAGTTCTAGGTGCATCCCTAGTTAAAATTATATAGGGTGATAAAGTTGGCATTTCCAAAATTTCAGATAGAAATTGACACCTTCCATAATTTCAAAACCAAATCAACTCTGCATTGATTGTTCGAATCACCGATACGAATCTGCTATGAAGTAAAATAATTCCTGCTTGTACTAACAATATACAGGGTGGGTTGGAACATAACTAATATTTCAGTGGTTTTCGGAAAAGTGGCGTTGGAATTTCATTTAAATTCTGTAGTATACAATTCTGATCGTGATATTGGCATCTCCCAATCAGAGATATTATATACAAGATGTTTTATTTTTGATAAAGTCACATCCATTTTTTGAACTTATTATTGGCATCCTTATTATGACTCACAACTTGAACAACCTATTGGGAAACTTATTCATTCCATGATGAATGTCCACTCTGCAAATACGTGGAATATAGGGAGTGGATGAAAAATCATTGGTCTTTGCTAATAACTTCTCGAGAGCAGTATGTACAGAAGTATGAGTTGTATTCTGGAGACTGTTCAAGAAGTTGAATAAATCCAACTACTTTATTTCGAGAAACTAATTCGTTTTATGAAATAGTGATCCAGGAAATATAATTGCTTGTCATAACAAGAAAGAAATACACTATGTAAGGTACAGAACTTCTGTTGTGATTGAATATCAAAATATTTTGTAATCCATAATAATTGTATATTCATTGTTCTTTTTGGATGTATGATAAATTGACATTCATCATACAGGACGTGGGAAGGAATTCTGGATTGAATTGAATGCGAGTTCTCAATGTATTTCTTCATAAATGTATCAATTTTTTTATGTTCATAATTATATCAGAGAATATTCCTTTTCAATTCATTGTTCTTGTTTCCTGTTGTTGATTGTTTCACTATCACCTGAAAAACCTTTTATGATACCTGCAGTACGTTCTCACATATTATTCAAAATATACTTCATTGAATGGTTCATATTATTTTCATTGAATATATTGTCGTTATGAAACAGGGTCAATAAAATTAGTCACAAGAATCTGTACATACTATTCTTGAGAAGTTATTAGCAAAGACCATCGATTTTTTATCCACTCCGTATATTTCACGTATCTGCAGAGTGAACATTCATCATGGATTGAACAAGTTTCCCACTAGGTTGTTCAAGTTGTAAGTCATAATAAGGATGCCAATAATAAGAACCTAACATGGATGTGACTTTATCAAAAATTAAACATGTTTTAAATTAGGGTTGCCATCTCTAAAATGTGAAAACCAGGACGAGGCTACTTGAAAATCCGGACAAAATCCGGACAGCGGGAATTTTGAAAACTCGGCATCATTTTTTGTAATTCCATTTTCATATACATATGAATGAGTTCAAAGGTGAATGGTGAATATCACTCTAGATATCAACTATAATTCGGGTATATTACCTACATATTTTTTGTTGCACAAATCGAATAAAACTCAAAAACATTTTTAAACAAAAAATAAACCAACCAAGAGTTTGAAACAAAACTATATAAGTCACATAAATAATACCAAATCTACAAATTCTCAATTTTTGAGCAAACTTTCACTGACATGATAATAGTTTATGTCGGTGGTTTGAACTGACGAGAATCCGGACAATTTTTCAAAACCCGCCTGGACGTCCACGGACGCCTCTAACACCCGGACATGTCCGGGGAAATCCGGACGGATGACAACCCTATGTATATAAGAGGTCTGATTAGGAGATGCTAATATCAGGAATTCGCTATGTTCCGACCCACCTTGTATATTGTTAGTACGTGCAGGAATTATTATACTTCATAGTAGATTCGTATCGGTCATTCGTACAACTAATGCACTGTTGATTTTGGAGTGTTGGTGAAATGAGGACATTTGATCAGCACCACGAGTTCTACAATATATCAAATATTGGAGTAAATTCACCGAAAGCCAATTTCCCATTGATGCGGTGCAGGGTCCTTTTCTGGACTCATAGGGATATTAAACAATCTATGGAATAAAGAATTGAAAGCTGCATATTTGTGTTGAATAGGATGGAAAGACATAAACGGAATCAGTATGTGTGGGTTTCCAGTATATGGAAAAATCAAAGGTATTATTGTTCATATTAATAAGTAGGTCCAAAAATGGGAGAGAGTTGTTAACTGC